ATCGATTTCTAGCCGATAGCGTCGGAGAACGTTGTCAAAATTAAATCGCATTCGTTATCAGCGAATGAAATTTGCGATCGAGATTCAACATTCGCGAACGCGAGATCGTCTCGGGACAGGGTGAACGCCCGACCTAGAGGCTGCGCATTGCGTCGCGCTGAGAGCGGCTGCGAGCTCTCGCTGGAGTTTCAACCGAAGCGAGAATGAAGCGGAGCAAAGCAATGAGAAGGCGCGTCGCCAGTAATGCGAGCCATGCGATACGTAAACACGCGACTGTCGTCGAGCGTATCATCTCGATGTTGCGACGCCTCAGATCGAGGATTACGCACGTTCAGGCGTGTACTTATACACGCACGTGCAAACTAAGCAGATTTTGTGAGGGTCAATGTAATAGAAGCCTCTCCGAAGTGTAATACGATGCTCTTGAGAGTCTGGTTCGTATCGTTCATTTCGGCCAAGTCGACCAGAAACTTCGCACCTTCGTCCGCGACATTCGTGATTTATGATGCAAATATTATGCCATTGTACGAGCGAGTCCTTAGGAAATCGACTTAGGAGTCGACTAGCCAGACACTGCCGCGACCAAGTCGACTCGAGACGGGAGAGGCGGAATGGTTAGGTCAGGGAGATCCCGACACAAAACTTTGCCACGCACATCGGCACAATCGCCTCGACAACTCGAGCGAGCGTCACCGCTTCTCTCTCTCTCTCTTTCTCTCCCATCTCAATTGCTCGTTTGCACTCTAGTTCATTCTCCATCCTTTCTGGTTCCTCCACCTCTCGTCCTATGCCTCCCTCTTTATATATTCCCCACTTTTCTCTTCTATTCTCAGTTCCTCCTGTCCTCCCTCGCCTTCGCATCTTGCCACCGACGTCACCCTCTTCGCGTCGTCTCCTCTTCCTCGTTCCTTCTCGCTCTATCTCCTTTCCTTTCTCGGCATCGCCTCATCCTCCCCTCCTCCGATTCTTTGCTCCGTTTCTTTCGCACATCCTCCTCTCATAGTGTCTTTCACTTTTTCCCAGCCGCTAGTGGAGCAACTCGAGGCACGGCTCAGCGTGACGATGATACCACGCGCGTCTGGACTTCCGAGTCCTTCGGCGACCTAGGATCATAGCAGCGCCGGCGCGATTAAGATCGCCGTTCCTTAACTACGACGGCTGAGAAGGCTCCGCCACTGCGCGCTGATAAGGTGCCGCGTTTCCTGATTAGATCCATGTCTATGAGGGACTGGTTTTCTCTAGTAGAGGAAATTGCTAGATACTGAAAATGCATCACACTTTGCATTGAAAAGCGTTCTCATATTTGTACACTTTAAATTAATTGCCAAAAGGTCTGTTAATTGTAATCCCTTTTTTTTTAATCGATGAAGAAATGATAAGTGATCGAGTGACATCGATGTCTTGTTATTTATTTGGTAATTATTTGGTAACTTTTTCAAGAGTTAATTAAACGTATATTTAACAAGATGCGATGAGAAAACGTTTTACACAATATATGCAAATAAGACTAGCGAAATGTATACGATGAATGCTCTGTGATAGAGTTCGTTGAACTTGAAGCAGTGCAGAAAAAGAATTGAATGTCGTTTTCTTTTTAATTCTAATGATTCTCACGATCTGTTCCAAAAAAAAATCTAAGAGAATCCAAAGTAGTTTGGCCGCGTCTGCTTCAGACCTTGAAAAGGTCGATAATCCGAAAGGTTGTGAATGGCTACCGCGGATCGACAGCAGTCGTTCAAAGACTACATAGTAGCACATATGTAATCTATGGTCGCGCGAATAGAAAAGCAACGGTGTTTCAAACCTATATTTAGCTACTATGCGCAAAAGGCCAGATAAGTCATATTTTACGAGAAACGACGAAGCCAGGAAATCGGGGAAAGTCTTTATCAGGACATCGAGCCGATTGAATTTACTGCGCTGAATTCATGGACGTTACGTGCTTATAAGAGAAGATCCACATCAGGCGTTTCGAAGTTGCCTGTTGCGCAAACCTCGATAGGTACGTAGGCAGGTTCGTATCTTGCACAATCGCCGCTGGCATATAGAAGCACAACGTAGTAGAAAAAGAGGGTGTCTGAATTGCTGCAAGAGTCGGCTACTGACGTCCTCCTCGTTGTGAATACAACGGACGGTCGTTATTTCCCAAATATCTCGTTAAACGCTGATACTCGAATTCAATTTAAAAAAAAAAACAATTTCGTCAAATGTTCGATAGTTACAGCGTCACATGTGTTTAATGTGTCAAGATTGCAAATGATAACGAAAGAATGTGAATCGCCAGTAGTTGATTAACGATAAGAAGAATTGTTAGACGACTTTAGACTGGCAGATGATTTATGTATTTAAATCCGACGTTTCGACCGTACGGGTTTGTGGTTGCTCAAGGAATTCAACAATAATATTACGTCATTGATATTAAACTAGAAATTTCTTAATGACTTTTAATTATCATGTAAAGGAATCTTAGTTCAAGCCCGTAAATGAAAAGTAATGAATGCTGTATATGAACATTTATTTACCGATGTCTTAATTTTCATTAACTTATGTACATATTACTTACCTCTGTATTAAAAATATTAAATTTTAATACACTTATATATATTTTTTTTAAATTTACTTAAACTTAATTTCTTTACACGTAGGTACATTAAAGATCACTTCGAGTTATTTAAATATTATTTACCATTGTATTTTAAAAGTTCATGAAATTTCATGACATTTTTAACAGTGTAAAAAGCACAGGAAGTTTGACTCACTCGGAGAACAATGATGCCCAGAGATGGATGTCAAACCTCCTGTGTTTTTTAGTTTAACATCAATGACGTGATATTATTGTTGAATTCCTTGAGAAGAACCACAACCCGTACGGCCGAAATGTCGGGTTTAAATAAATAAACCATCTGCCAGCCTAAAGCCGTCCAACAATTCTTTTTATCATTACAAATAATATTATAGATAACGCTAGTCGTTATACTTAATCGTATGCGATCGGATCTTAACTGCCGCTTCCGTATCTCGATATTTATATCAATGAATAATACGTGTAAACAGAATTACGCACCTGATACCATATTGGATTATTAATTGATAACTTTGCACGCTTCTTGGTAGCATCGTCGGTGATGTACAAGACGCGCGTTACGAGATAAGGACAGAAGGAAGCTATGATTATCTTGTTCGTACAATTTATTAATACTTTCGCATGTCCATCAGCGTGAGGTCTAATGCGAAGTCTACAGTCGTAGATAAGCATGTCCCACTGCGCTTAATAATTTACACATGAAATTACTCAAAGTGATGAAAGTCAGTTTCGATTATGCGACGAATGAAACGTCTTACACTCGTGGCACACATTGACGATGCAAGAGAGGCATGTTCGTACAAGCTCCTTTACTTACCAATGCCCGATGCAATATTAATATTCGGCCGCGTGTGACTAATAGGAAAAATCAAAGCAGGAAGTACGGCGTATGAACGCCGCCAGATCTATATTTCGTCTCGAAAGCTTAATGACGTCGCGGTGTAACAAGGAGATGCACACGGCCGGCAAATCGAAACTTGAGGATGATCAAGTAATTTATGATCGTCGTATCGCTCTCTTTCTCTCTTCCTTTCCTCGATCTTCCTCTATCTACCTACTCTCGCCTCTCTTTCCCTCGCATTTCGTTCCTCTCGTCTCTACCGCACACAGGCATAGCAGAAGGACGCGCTACCCCTCCAAACGTAGAGCGGGATGCTGTTGGTGGGATGAGTACCAAGTAGCAACGAGTCATTCACCTTTTATCCCAGTAACACGAAGTCGTAGCCGCGAGCGACGACGGACGACAAACTACAATCTGCACAAGTACCGCGGCGGCGTATCTAGGTATCCACACGGCCATAAGCTGGACCGTGCATTAATTTGTATCGGCAGATGAGACGCTGGTGCGCGCGGCCTCTCTCGTTCCGTTAGAGTTGTCCCCCTTCGTTCTAAATGCAGCCGTCAACGAGCGAGCGATTTTGCGATGCGCGAGCAATAACGTTGGGACCGGTTAATACGTACTAAACTAATGTCGCGGTTAAACTCTTTCGATCGCACTCGGATTCAATTAAAGGCGGGTATAAAAATATATGTGTGCATATTACGCCGAGAAACGGTGAAAAACGGTATTCCGATCACTCGCCTGTAAGATGCTACGCTGCTTTCGTGTCTTCCCCTTCCACGGAAAACTCACCGTTAAAAATATATTAAAATGTATACAAGCCCGATCAGTCTTTTCGAGGCATAGATATCTCTGTTTTCTAACGAATACGCATATGTATTCTTTTTATTTGCGATCATATAATTCAATTCTCTTTTACGTCAACATAGTATTTTGATGAAAATATTTTCAGAAATTTTTTAATCAACAATTCGATATTTCCCCGTTCACGTTGCACCAACAAAATTTAATAAAAATTGTTTTATACGTATTTAAACCTTTGCTTTTATCTTTTTGCAATAAAATAATTTTTGGTCGAGAAAGAATTTTTATTACATTGAGGCTTACCGATCTATCAACTTTGTACTTAACTAATGATAAGTACTTCATTAAATTGGGTATTTTCGCGGTATCGCTACTAAAACTTTCAAGTTACTTTATTCAAACTTATATCATTAGAATATAATGGCTGAATACAAAGAATGAACAATGACGACAAACCGGCCTACCGGGCAATGCCTTCAGCACAAACGAGGGGACACGTTGCAGCTGCTGGGTCCTAAGGAGAGTAACTTGTGTAGCCGCTCTTAATCCGCTTAATAATAATCTCAATATACAACAAACATTTTAGCGTTTGTCGTGATTTTTTCACGCCCCTGTATATCCGAACGGTTTTCTCGCCGCGCAACCTTTGGCGTAAGTTAAGCTAATGCGATAACATATCGGTCATCCGTCAGTTAACGAGCAGAAATTTTCTTATCGTGATGTTTTTTTTTAGGATTACCACAAGTCTTGTCCGAAATACAATGACTTATCCTTTCTGTACCTCAATGGTCAATGCAGCATAGATTTATTTATCGCAGTCATTCAGAATTTTAACTATGCCCAATAATGATAGTAACAATACTATACAATGATAATAACCTTTCTTTTTATTTATAACATCGACCCGAACGTCTTTATCCAAATTAAATTGGCTGGCTAGACAATCGGCGGAGCGTTTCTCCGTCTTTTCGTTTGGATCAACTTCGAATTCTTGTATCCGCCCAAGTGTCAAGCCCGTCGGCTTGCATCAGACGGACAATGCGGCGGATTCTTGCTTCGTTTAATCACATATTCTACACGTTGCGTTGACTATATCTACACTGGCTGTTGCGCGTATTGTTATTCTTTTCGCCGTAGGATTTTTTGCAATAATAATTCTGTGATAAAATATTTTTACGAGACTGTTAAATTCGTCGGTTTTACTTTATTTTGTGAAACAACGACGCAGAAAATGTCTAATATAGAATGATATAAGTCGCGCAGGAAAATTGTCAACGTCACGGTAGGCCATAACTCGAGCACATGGTCTCTAAAATGATAATTTCTCGATCGATTTCGCGTGAGGTCAATGAATCCATCCTACTACCTAACGCCACGCTAGAAATAGTGTTAGAGGACGACGTAGCAGTTCCGCCAACGCTTTTAATAATGAAACAGCTTCAGCGCACGCAACGTATTTAAAATTTAAAATATTTTTACGCGGCATAATAACGTAATATTTTTGCGAGTAACAAGTACGAACCAAACGTTGTATTGGCAAAAGAGAACAAATATCAGACTTGTATTTTAAGAATGGACTTTGTGTATTCAGGCCATTTATTCGACGACTCGTATATTCCGTTTAGCCCGAAGGAAACGGTCTCCCTTGTGGACAGACCTTACATATAGTTGGCATATCTCGAAACGTCTGGTATCCAACTAATGACCGTTTATCATTGACGACTGGCTCCCAGTTAAAAAATTCCTCTGGATCCACCCGCGGTACCTCCTCTCTTTCGGTTTCTCCCTTCCTTTGGCCTGGCGGATCCTACTTTTCTCCCCACGTGAAGGCCCAGTAACGAACACGTGGAGGTTGGGCTTGAACCGAACGATATATCGGGGGAAATTTTCCGAAAGCTCGATCGGAGTGCCAATTGCCGCTGTAGCCGGCAGCAACGGCCAATCGCCGTTGCCCCTGGTCGGACAGGTGGGGGCCAGCCGAGACTTAAGCGAGGCCACTCGCCGTGGAGCTGTCAGAGCTCTGTGGGGCACGGTCACGCACACACAGCAGTCGGTCCCTTCGGTTCTTCCGGTAGCGTCCGCCTCCTCGATCTCGTCGTCTCCGGATCGTGCGATATCTATTGCGATTTACGCACCACTTCCCGGTCGAACCGCCACACTTGGGACCGCGGACCATTTCGTGAATCGCACATCGAGACTATTGCTCCGGGACGGGATCGCCCTTCAAGACTTGCGATAATTCAGGAGAGCCATTTTCACGGGATCTCACAATACTACCAAGTGTCAGAAGTGTCTGTAACGCTCTGCTAGCTTTCCGAGGGAGCCGAGTAAGAAGATATGGCTCGGCAGTTGGACCCCACCGGTCTCTACTGAAGACGTTTTTCTCCGCGATCAAGCAACTACATACTTCCGCTTTCAGTGTTGTTGAAGATCATTATCGTCGACATGGCAGCAGGAGGATTGGACCCCACCGGTCTATACTGAAGTGCCGTCGAGTAACTGCGTATCTCACGACCGTTCATATATCCATATCTCTCCGAAGGCTTTCGATTGACTTTCAATTAAAATTGTGCAACATGGCTGGACTCGATCCGACCGGTCAGTATTGAGAAGGTGAGGGAAGGTCCAGAAGAGTCGAGCAAGTAGGAAGGAGTCCCGACAGATACCTCAAGGTCGCGCGACATGGCCGCTACCGGGGGTCTAGATCCGACCGGGCAGTACTAAGACGTCGAGAAACCTTCGAAATTCGTTCAGCATCCTCGTTGATTCGTGATATCGGCGATGGAGCAAGTGAGAGGAAGAGAGGAAGTCTCATCTTCCAACTTGAGGAGACTGAGATGGAGCATCCATATTCGCAAAGGACGACATCGAACATTCCCTGTAAATGTGGAACGTCAATGAAGATGCCGAATCTGCCTACGTACAGGGTGAGTGTTGACGTCGAAATTAATGCTAGCCGCGAAGGTACGGAGTATTACGTAAGTTTTCATCGCAGCCGCGTTGGACCGATTCTGCCTCGGTTGTACCAGCTTTACCGAGCCCCTGCCTCAATTACGACAACATAACCTGCCTCTTCTCGTACGCGTTTGTCACGGTTATATATGCATATAATCTACGACAGTGACTCCGCTCGGGCTCGTGATCGGGTCACGACTACTCGCGCGAGCTCTTCTCTTTCGGCGGTCAGCCCTCTCTCGCTTCCGCGAGCCTCGCTCCTTCTCACTCCGATTCACCTTCTCTTCCTGCCATCACCGACGTAACCGTGGTCGCGCCGTCGTTGCAAAAGAAGGGAGGAAGATTTCTTCAAAGATGACCCGCGCATGACCGACGGTCCAAAAGGAGGAGGGAGCCCAGTTAAAAGGAGCGCCAGGGGCAACGGGGCAGGCGGAGACTCGTGTGTGAGGTGGGACCGCTTGATTCCTTAATATTACGTCACCCGATATCGACAACTGTGTTCGCAGTACCCATTGGCCACCGCGATCCAGACCCCCGCGATAGATCGGTGGTCGCTACCGGTCTAAATTTTGACAGGCGCGCGAGATTTAACGTTGGAGTACGCGGCAGCGATCCCGCGTAGATACGCGTTTTATCCTTTCTACCTGCTTTTTCTTGTCGTGGTTACAAGCAGGTGCCCCTCTGGGAGTCAGCCTAGACCATTCACCTCGCTATTATCTCCAGCGTATAGACCCAAATATGTTCCGGCGTGCAATTAGACGAGCTCTAGCATCGCGTCTAACTGATTGCGATCACCTAACACACGTTCGCTATCTGAGAGAGAGAGAGAGAGAGATATATATTCGTTCAAATATTTTAAAACAAGTTACGTTTATCTATCAGCTTGCTGATGTAACATTACAGCTACAAAATTTCTCACTCTATTCGTTTCTCGATATATTTAACGATACAATGATACACTTATGCAGCGTTTTCTGCCAAACAAAGTTGAACTCTCACGGTAAAATGTATCTTGCTCTTGCTAAATTGTCACAATTATCATCGATACACGTTGGCGCGATTTATTTAACAATCGGCTTGCGCGATCGAAGTAATGTCGCGCGTCGCACGGATGCTCGGCGCATCGACTCGCGATCCGTGCGCGCGACGACGCGAATATCTCGTCGTCGTCGTCGAGCATAATGATATGAAATAGAGAAATCCGGGGAAAAATCGCTCTAGAAATCCGTCGCGCTCGGCGTTATCGGCTCGCGGGCGTGTCGCGTCGCTTTCGCAAAGTCACGAAATTAGTCTCGGTCCCATGGGAAAGACAAGACCCCGATATAGTGGATATAGCCGAGGAGGAGGCCCCGGCCGACTCCTCACATGGCCGAGTTCATTGACACCACCTGAGTTTTGGGCATTCACCGTCTCGCTCGCGCGCACGTACCGTCGATCGTGCCCTCCTCGTCAGGAATAAGCGATCGTTCCTTCGCTCGTCCGTTCGCTCAAGTCAAGTCCGCTCGGTCAGCCACCGTTCCTCTTCCTCCTCGATGACCGTTTCGAGGGATCCTCTAGGTCTCGCGGAAACGAGTCGCGATATGCCGCGATCCGTCATCGTTTTCTCGCGCGTTCTCGCCGACGAATCGGCGCGATCCCCCCCCCCCCCACCCGCGAGATTTCCGGAGTAATTGCGCTAATTCTTATGGAAAATACGAGCGACTCGTCGGCGAACTCGACTCAATCGGGAGCGCGGACGTGGGCAGATTCTTCAGAGTTTTCTTCTGCGCGGTTGTGCGGCCCGCATACGTGAGCCTCTTCCGGGTGCGTCCCAAACCGTTCGTTAGCTCTCGCGCAAGGTGTGTGCAAGAGCAGTGCTGCGGCAATTTGCTGTGATTACTCGACGAATATTTGCACACTAAAAGATAAATGTACGGCATTGTATTTGCGAAACTGCATAGAACAGATATGCCTTATATCTTTGGCCTTTTTTCTTCAATTAGGAATGAATTTATATTAATTGTACGCGGAGAATCGATCGATCGGTGCGCATGGCAGATAATCTTTTGTCACATCACGAAACGTATCTCGTGTTAGGATTACATGTACGTGTTTGCAACCGGGTATCGACACGAGTGTTTAAACGCGCGTGAACTCGAGACAATTGATGTTGTTTGCGTAAAACTTGTACAATAGAGTCGCTGAGAAAGGGAAAGAGAGAGAGAGAGAGAGAAGCCTATTCCCTTATTTAATGCGGCGTATACCGGAGGCGCCGTCGCCGGGTGTAATTTCGAACCGCTTCCGTTTATACGCCGTCATAATGTTTGCCTCGCCGTACGATCTTATTACTAGAATAATAGACAAATAGAAGCTGCGGAGATAGAATGTGCAAATGCTGCCGTTGCTGCTCTTGCTGCTGCTGCTGCTGCTGCAGCTACTACTGCTGTACAGAAATACCGAGACGGGAAAGCAAAAGAGGAAGAATGGGGATAGAATGACAGGGGAGAGAGGGAGAGGTGGAAGAAGGAGAGAGATCACGCGTGACCTAGGACAACATACCGCGCGACCTGCATGCCAATCGTCTCTCTCTTACTCTCGCACGTACTCGCACATTCTTTCATTTCTCTCTTACTCGAACGCGCGGTTTCTCTTCCCGTGTCGCACCGCCGTCTCTCTTCCTCCCGCTCGCGCCGTTCCCCCTCGCAGTAATAGGCGTACCGAATCGTACTCCTCGTTCCGCGATCGTGACGCATCGGTCGTGATTTTAAAACAAGGCGCCGCGCGATGCTATCGAACCCCGGGCAGACGCGCGGGCGCACGGATTTTGGCAGGCAGACTTTTGCGCGGGCGACGCATCGCGCATAACAATAGCGCGCCGTCGTATTTGAATTTTCGCGGACGTGGCCGGACACGCGAAGGTGGGCCATTTCAGTCCACGTGCACGCCAGCCTTTTCCCCTACGTGCGGAAAAATGAAGGCTGACTTTACTCCGAGGTGTACGGTCAATCTTCGTGTCCTCAACATTTCAAATTTCTATAGGCCCTTTACATTGAAACGTTATTCTTTCACATATAAATACGTGGCGTCTTATCACATTCCTTGGAACGTTATCTCTCCGATGGACGATCTCACCTGACAATCCTCCGCGGAGCGTTTCGGTGCGATACTTGCCTCGAATAATCCGATAAGCATCGTCGCACGTGTCTGACACGTGGTCGAGTTGCCCGGCAACATTATCACGTATGAAAAACGCCGTTGTATACTGGACGCCGGTCGGCATTCAACGACCGACATTGCGGCATAAACTGCCGCGATAATAGGATAAATCGACTCGGTTGCAATTAACGTCGGGGTGGGCGCGTTAAGTCACGATATGTGCTCAACGAGTACGCAATATTATCGGTTTAGCGGAACATCTCGGGCTACGGCACGGATAATACATAAAGATGCGTTTCTACGACGCGCGAGAAGAGATCGCGCGGCATTACGATCGTAGATGCCGGCTGCTCTCGTCCCCTTCCAATCTCCTCATCTCTTTCTATAGCGAGCATCCACGATGATCCTTCTTCTTCAACACCTTCTTCTCCTCCTTCTCCTTCTTCTTCTCCTCTTCCTCCTCCTCCTCCTTCTCCGCCATCTCTGCCTCCTCTTCCTCCTCCTCGTCCTCCTTGTTACCTACTCCGTCCTCTCCCGCTGTGGTCGCCTCTTTTTTCGGCGCTTCTCCTTCTTTTTTCTCATGTCCAGGAGATTCGGAGGTTCGTTCACCTTACGAGGTATCTACTGCTTGGACTTGCCTACTACTCCTATGGGAGCTAGGGGTATTGCCTCGTGGTCGTTTACACTTATACAGTTGACCGGAATAACACGCGATCAGGCTGTCCTATCCAAGATCACGCTCGATGAGCTACGTCGAGCCGGGGCAGAAATTTTAATTCAACATTCTTCGGATTCTCCCCGGTTTTCTTCGCAGTTCACCGCGTCCGGTCGACTTTCGAAAATCCTGCACGTTTTCTTCCCACTCGTGACGATCGCCTCGTGTGCCTCGTGTATAATGCTCAACCTTGCGCTATCGTATTCGCCATTGAGCCGATTATAACATTCTCCATCTAGCAAAGATCGACGATCCGTGACGGGGATCGAGGAAAATTATGTTGCCAGTACGACACGACGATGTCGGATTTATCTCCGTTCGATCCTGTTGCATCATCGTTTGCATCGTCAATCTCTCGGTATATATTTGCGACGGCACGCCATCACAGCCAGCCACGTTTGGCTCCAACTGTGTTATTCACGCGATAAAGGAATCTCCTCGTTCGATAACCGCCGACCTTTCTCGAGCGAGCGCGCGACCACTCGCGCATCGTATTTAATCCGCGAGCGAGCGAGCGAGCGAGCGGGCGGGCGCAAAAAAATTTCCGAAAGGCCAATATCGTCTGCATCGTGGAGCGTCAGCTTAGCCTAAGGGTAAATGGGCCAGGGCCATCCGTTGTAGCTCATGCAACACGAAATTCCCTCCAAGCACCCAATAGTCCTATGAAAGAACGATATCACGATTATACCAGGCACTCATCATCGGGCGGCATCTTGGGATGTGTTCGATGCATCGAAGGTCTGACCAAGCAAGCGGCATAATGCCAACCAGTGGCATTTACGGCGGTAAGACCACCTTTGCCTCGACTCTTTCTCTCCCTATCTATCTCTCTCTTTCTCTTTCTCGTCCCGCTCTTTCCTTAACACCCTCGCGCGCCCTCTCTCTCTCTCTCTCTCTCTCCCCCCCCTCTCTCTCTCTCTCTCTCTCTCTCTCTCTCTCTCTCTCTCTCTCTCTTTCCCTCCCTCCCTCGTTCTCTTTGCTCCTGTCTCTTTCTCCGTCTTTCTTTTTCTCTTTCTCTCTCTTTAACTCGTTCTCGCGGCGCATGGGTCTCGAGCAGCAGCTTCTTTAGCGTTCCATTACCGACGTTCTATGGAATGCATCGGTCTCTCGCAACACCTACGAAGACCAAGTCCGCGAAATCGGCCTCAAATCCCCCCCGAGACAACGGCGGAGAGCCGCTGAACTTCTTGCCTCTTTAATCAACACGCGTATCCGTTAAAGAGACAAGAAGCGCCCGGAGAAGAGGCAAGAAGATTATCGGTGGTTAACGTGTTCCGTAACTATTTGTCGTCGTAACGAAGTATTTGTTTATCAGGACACTTCGGTTAAGTAATGGTTTGTGGAGTACGAGATACTACAAATTCCATCATTTACTTGTTGATAGGAAAATCGTGAGCGGATAAGATTAGCTGTAGACCGAGGGGAAAAACCGCTGACCAAAATCTTGTACACCAATACCCACTAATGCCCAGTGGGCATTACTTTATCTCATTTTATCTTTATAATGCCCCAGCGAGGCCTAATGCCCAAAAAATGTCTAGTAATGGCTGGTAGTGCCCGGTAGTGCCGCAAATCTGTACACCACAATACCCTCAGCGGTTTCCCCCTCGCTATGGACTGATTCGATTTTAGAGATCTGTCTAATATCATTATATCTCATGCTAGATTTTGTCCAACTATGATATTGGAATAGACGCGTGACACGTACTTCTGTCTACGCAATAAAAATTAAACGTCGCAAACATCCCTTTTTTTTAGTAGTCTGAGCATTTACAAAATTATGCCGATGTCTATTTAGACTCGTTAATTTGCGAATTTCAATCTTAAAGTTGTACACGCTGTACATGTGGTATCGCGCAATTCTCCAAAGTGGACCCTCCAGCACCGTGTCCTCTTGCGCACAAATTTAATGAAATCACTCGAGTGTACCGTCGATGAAGAATATCATGAAGATATTCTAATGACTAATATCTTGACAATTTCTGATGACATCTCGGTATAAATAAGCAACACCGCGAACGCTGCGGAGATGAGCAATCACGGCGTACTTCCTTGACGATCGCAGTGATCCTTGGTGTGCGATAATTGACACATATTTATGGTCAATGGCTACGTGTCTGCGGATGAAAATGGGCCAATCGTGACATCCCCGTGCGGGCATTCCAACCGAGGCGGACTGTAGGCAGAGCGTCCTGCGAGCAATTGTACTCGCGTGCGGTAGCGCACGGCGGTCTATGGTGATAGAAGCGCCGTCGGCGTTGGCGATGGTGAGCGGATCGCCTTGACGAGAAAATCACGTGGCCGCGGGAAATGACTTGTTATATAAACGAGCCATTATCTCGGTGCCTGTACATTGCCACGTCTAATCCGACGAGTCTGACACGGCCGTCTCGACGGATCCTGCGACAGACGACATGTCTCACGTCCGTGTCGCATTTATTACGGCGGTGAGATAACGGATAACGCCCCCGCGCCAATCAAGCGCGCGCACTCGACTCCGATTCCGCTCGATCGGGAAATTGTGCAGAAGCGACAATCAAGGATAACTGGGAGCGTTATCGTCTCGAGAAATTTATTATTCACGAGGTGCTGGCTCTCGGCGTTTCCTAGGGGGTTACGCGAAGGCTCGCGCGAAGGCGTGGAGTCGGCTCCGCAGCAACCACGGGGGCGAGTAAAGCGCGTATCTGGTGCAGGGAAATGCAATGGGACGTAGTCTACGGGCCGGAATGGGAGAGAATCGGTGCGCGGGGCACCGCCAGCTCGCGGGTGCTAGCGGGTGCACGACGGTAGAAGTAAAGCCAAGAAAGTAGGTCAACGTTGAGTCTCGGGCGAGTCCGAGAGGCAAGTTCAGGGGCAAATTGCAGCGCCATGCTCGGAGCCACGGACTCCTTTCGTGCCTTAGGTTAAGTCCTTTCTCTCTTTCTTTCCCTCGTCGTCGTGCAGCGTCGCGTACGCGTGTGGACACGTGTGCAGACCGCGGGTCTATCTCTCGCTTTCTCCCAGGGAGGAGAGAACACAAAGGGAAAAAGAGAGAGGAGGCGGTCTAACGGACTCCGCTCTGGTCTGCCTAGTTTTATTTTTCCGACGGACCCGAGCCTGGCCATTCGTTCCGTTTCTCTCCTGCCCGCCCTGGACCCTCCCTCGCACGCGTGCACGCGCGCGTGTGAGTGCAACAAGGGAGAGGGAGCGATCGTACCTGCGCTTCCCCTTATTCTCTCTTTCTCCACGTTAGCTGCTCTTGGCCTAGGTCTCAGTGGTCTCGCTAGCGCCGCTGCTCCCGCGACCGTCGTTGTCGTTGTCTCGAGAGAGAGCCGAGAGTGCTTTCTCCTGAGCAAACTGGCGTTTCATGACACATTTTCGGCCGAACTTGGCCCAGAAATGGCCGAGCTGGAAAGTGTAAGTGAAACCCTTCGCTCTCGAATAACCGTTTCTAGCCACGGCGATGGTTCAACGTGTCATACTTTGGACGGCCAACGTTCTCCTTTCGGCCGGTGGTGGTGGGTGGTGACTCGAGCCAAGCCTCACGGGTATTTTTCGGAGGCTCTCGGCAGGAGATCGAGCTAAGGGGACCGCGTTCCTTCTTCTTTTATCACAAATATTCACAAGAAATGACAAATAATCTCAATCAAATTAGTTTCTTCACTCTTCGCAGGATGGGACGCGAAATTTCCTAACTTACGCTAATCCCATCGCTCAGTCAGTTCGCTACGTTCTCTAAGAAGACTTGATTTCCTGTGCAGTTTACATGAGCTACACAGTACGCGAGTTAATACCAATTGTCGATTGTAATTGTTTGCCTTCCCACAATTTATCCCTTGCCGTCGTCGCGGCTCTGCCGTTTCCCGAATCCGTCGTGATCGACGACCGTCGCCGATTACGGTAGATTCTTAAGGCTTCACCTTTCCGTTCCTCTCCAATTCTCTTTCACTCCTCCACAATGACGCGCGCGCGCAAAGAAAAGGATCGAGCGAGTAAAGTGACCTCGGCAAAATCGTCGCGAAGGCTGTCCGGCGCGCGCTCGCGCGCGCATATTATGCCCGCTGTACTCCAGCAGCCGGAAGATATATTATATCGATTAGCGATAAAGCGCGCCTGTATCCACCTAGCGAGCGCACACAGGCGTAGACAGGTAGGCTGATGGTGGGAAGGTGGTCGGCCTCAAGTAGGCAGGCGATATAGGTGGTAGCCAGCGGGTCACTCGGACCGTCTGTTTTACGTCTTCGCGTCTGCACACGCTGCTTCGTGGCGCGCACGTACGCGCGCACACGTGTACGCGGGTGCGTCCGCGCATTTCATTCCACTTATCGCGCCGCATGCGAGCCGGCTAAATCGCGTGCTGTTGTACACGCTCTCGTAGTATTATCTCCGTTTCGAGCGCGTGCTCCCGAACGCGAGAGGCTGTAGGAAGCGGACACGCGCGAATGAATGGAAGCGCAAGTGATTCTCGCGCTTCTGTCAGCCGATGCCGCGCGGAATTTCTGTATGCGCGCGCGCTCGCCCGTTGCCGGCAAATTGTCTCCGAGGATACGCGATCGGTTTGCCAGGGCGTGGTTTCCTATGCAGTTTTTACCCGACTAGAATGCACCAGGCGGCCTTCGCTGAGATCAGGATATCCCGCCGCTCGTTTCTCCCCGTGCCATTCCGGCCGTACACCCACTTCACCTTCTGTATTACGCTGCGCCCTCCGATGTGAACGCCACCGCGTCTCCGATTCTACCTGTACACCGATCATTTCCTACACCGATAACCAACGTCCTCCATTGACTCGGATTGAATTGCATAAAAATTAAATTACTTTGTTGTTATGCCACGTGTTGTTATTAAAACTCACTTATGTACGTATAAATAGGTAGAAAATGATAAGCAGACTGCTGACATAATCTCGTACAAATGCTAATCGTCGTGGCCGATACCGCTCTATTTGCCGACACCACGTATTACGTATAATCTAATTCCGCAATCGCTAACGAGTCTGGGAATTAATACAACTATTTTCTTTGTCGCTTGTTACAGGAATCAACCAGCAACGACACCACTGCCGTCGAAGAACTTCAATCGTCCTCATCGCCTACGATGAGGACAATGGGGGGTCTACTGGAGAATGGAAGGATCACCAACGTTACACTGCCATGGAGAAATTTGCCACCTAGTCGTTCCATCTCTTTCCTCATCTCGGTCTCTCGCGGAGACACGCGCGACTCTCTCGAGGGCGAAAAATGTCTCGACGCACGGGATAATAGATCGTATTCGTTTCTTTTCATATTCGCGACAGTACCACGAATGTTCCGCGCGCCGCCGTAACACTGCCGACGTACTGATCGCGATAAGATGCTAGTTTTCTCTTAAATTTCTATCACGCGGTGGCCACGCGGAAGCACATTTCACGTAACGAAACGCGGCTGTTACGAGAAGAGCAACGCTACGACCTCGGTTATCACCGAACGCTAACAAAAAAAGAAAACTTCCTTGTCCGATACTGCTTTATCCTCATTATCAGTAGCTGTTGTTACTGTTACTCGCTATTTATACTGTCCGCCACAGTGATCGAGACATATGCGCGTGCAACAACATCGCGCTGTTACCGTTATCGCTACACTATCAACGTTGTCACGACTAATATGATCGCCGTTACTACTTCTTTTTCCTGTTGCTTCGAATGTCGATGATATCGTCGAGCACCACACGCATGAATCGAACAGTAAACAGAGCTGATTATTACGAAAAATCCCGTTTCCCCTCTTGGCGTGGCTCTTTAGCATTCACGTTATATAAACTACCGGGAATTATGCAGTTAATGCAGATAAATTTAGACGAGGCATTAAATCACCGCGCTACCGCAAATAAGATCGAGCTTGCTTTATTTTTGTGGCATTTCATACTCTGCGATTTGCAATGTTACATGGCGCTGGCACACATACTGCTTAAAAATTCAACGTAAATGCAGCGAGGCTCGCTCTTTCAGAGTACATTATGTTAATCGATTAAATATTTGGACATAATTGATAACAAATTTGGTTGAAACCACCGAGAATTTCAGATCTAGCTTGTTGACTTATTTCTAAATATTGGATTAATGAACACATGAAATTAAAAATGAAGAAACTGCGGTAAATGCAACGTGTCAGAAAACTCATCCCTGGGTCAGATCTTGCAAATTTCAACGCACATTTCCAATAGAGATTAACCGTTTCTCGTGGTTTTGTATAATAAGTTTGAAAGTGGCGGTTTTCTTCGAGATCGAGGATTTCATAAAGTAACATCCGCGCGCGCGCGCGGAAATCCGCTCGCCGTTTACATACAAGTTACACGAGTGTCCGGCAAACTGATCGCTCGCGCTCGTGCGACGTACGTTGCGTTGTCCTTCGGGAGTCCGTGCGAAATCGATCAGGCACCTCCGCGATTATTATCAGGAAGTGATCGCAGTGCACACGCCGGTTGCACATTGTTACACATAATTTCTTCCCCGCCGGCCGTATCGTAACGCGCGATTCGCGCGTTTCGAGCCACGACGACCGCGTACTTTGCATTCTTCGCATACATCGACTCGCTTGGTGCGCGAGCTCATTGCAACTCGTTCTCGCACACGAGCGCGTACGAGCGCACACGCACAGACACGGGCCCGAAGCGTTTAACCGCGCTTTTGCGCGAGCTGGAGCGCGTGTTCTTCACCTACGTATATGTGTACGAGTTACCGTATTTCTCTTAATTACCACAACGATCGAGTAGCACATAGGTAAACGTTCGCGTTCTGTCTTTATTTCTTACTCCTTAATTATTATTCTAATTCTTATTATCATCTTTTACCATTATTATTTTTATCATTATTCTATTGTATTATTATGATTATCATCCTTATTCAATTATTATTATTATTAATATTCTTGTTTTTCCATTGTTACTCGTTAAGTGTTTCGGGACTCTTTCTCTCGCGGCTCTTTTTCGTTAAGGCGCCGAGTACCATGAGGGATGGCGAGTATGAAAGCGAGAATGACGAGCGGGAGGAGGTAGTCGGAGATGCGTTTTCTTTTAGCGAGTAAAGAGGCGAACGCGTGCGTGCACGGGGAAGGATGCGAGTGTTCTTAATTTCTTTTTGTCTTTTTTTTTTTATTTTAGTACAAATGCAATGTGCGAGAGACAAGCGGGACTGAAGGAGAAGCGAAGAAAGAGATAAGATATATATATATATACATATATACACACACAATATAAATAAATATATATTTTTGTACCTTTTATCTCGAGGAAAATGGACACCTCGATAACCGAGACACCCGCGATCGACCGCGATCGACGGCGGACTTACCGTATCACATATATATCTCTCTCTCCTCGTCATGATCCCCGTGACCTTTTCCTATTGGAACGCAACGATCCGTAAGGCCGATAAGAGTTCGTTACTTGAGGTCACGTTCGGAAAAGCGCGTCAACAATTTCTATTGCTAATTGCGAATTGCCGCAATTGTCGCCTGTACGTCTGAACGTCACCCCGACTAAGCTCCGCGGCGTTGGCAACGAAGTTTCTAAATCCGAAAACTGTCTCTTAAATTAATTTTTCCTTCCGCTCCCGTGCGAATCATAGGTAGATCGTAGCCATTTGTTTTTTTTTCCCCTTCTTTGTTTTCTTTGTACAACAGAAGTGAGTGCGGGAAAAATAAAGAGTATGAAACAAACTGCCGAGCTTGCTGGCGGTAGCCCTTTTTATCCCGTCACCTCCTTCACCGCTTCCTTTGTGCTCGGCCTTCAAGGATAATGCAATACAACTATTTCGCCGTCCATGAACGACTTCTCGACTTTCTATGATTGAGTCATTTCTAAATACGACGTCCTTTTTCCGTCCTCTTTCTTTTGCCCCGCTGCCTTTTTGGTCGTTTCGAGAGCGAGAGACCATCGATTCCTTTATTCTAATATATTACATTTAACGAAAATGTTTCTTACATTTTTACGTACGACCTGTACAACGTAACGTAATATCGGCAAGTGTACGAACAAGCAGAAATTGTGTCAAACATTTATACGTGATAGGTTCACGAAGATATCACGATTATGATATAACATAGTTTTACTTGACGCATCGAGCCGTCGAAGATGCACCATGCCATCTATCTATAGAAGCTGAGATATTTTCATAGGTCAGGAACACATTTATGGGCTTTGATTTATCTGTAATTATTAGTTACAGCTAAATCACGTTTAGCCTTAACCTTTAGCAGAAAATAATAAGCCTAAGACGACGTCTTTACCGCTGGCGTTCTCGCATCTTTTCATTCGCCGTTTTGTCATTTGTCCAGTTTTGCCATTTATAGGCGATCATCAACAACTGCGCCGTTGTGATTTACAGTCTCACCCTATTCTCGAAGCTATAAGAAACCCGCGTTATCGCTGCGAGTACCGGTGCTAATCGCGAGATATCAGGGATTGGTAAGCGCCTAGGGCGCGTGGCACGCGCACATCTCTTTTGTTTTTGCAGACCACCAGGCGACTAGGCACTAGGTTACTGGATTCTCTTCTCGGGTTGCTTGCTCTTCCCCTTCTGCCGGTGTCCCCACCATCACTATCCAGCAATCGCCGGCTCTCTCTCCCTTCGATTCTTCCGTAGACGCAGGCGACCTATGGTGCCCCAGATGCGATGTGCAGTTTCGCCCATATCCCGCCGATACATGCTGTTGCTGTAGTGTTTCAATCGATTCCGTGCCTTTTGATTGACGATTTTTTCCCGTTTGCTCGCTCTTTCCACTTAACAATGTTTATGGCGCGATCGTGTGAGAGCCAATTACTTAGAAAAGTCCCAAAGTGGAACTCTTTTGGTATTCGGTAAAAGAAGCCAAGACATTCATTTGCTGTTGCGTTTGCATCTGTTAAAATTGTCGCTTATAGAACTTTTGATCTTGATTTGAATAACAAACTTTCCGGCGACGTCTCGTTTCGTGATAATCTTTCAATATTCAACATTATGTTCTTCATGTCTTAATATGAAATTCCGAATTAAAGGATTCTTAAAAGTAACGGTTGATTAAACTTTGAGCGAAATTAAATGTTAATTTCAAATAACTGTAGCGCAAGAGATTATTTGGCGAGTAAATTTTTGTCTTCAGTCTCTCCTAATTAAATTCAAGGATTTAGAAAATCTTGGAAAAAAATTAGTTTGACTAGCGAATTCATTGTTAAAATTAAGGCCACCGGATCGACAGTTAATCGTTATACATCACAGAGGTACTTTTGTATTTCGACAAGTATTTAAATATAGATGTATCGTCTGCGTCAATTGATTTTGCAGCATTATTTACAAGTGGATTATTATATTTTATCCTCACCTAGAGTAGGTATGAAATTAATCGTAATTGCCGCACAGAGCTCAATAATGCAGCATGATTGTTGCAACCAAAGTCGAGGTCGCCTGAAGTATTTCTTGCAAAGAAACTATGATTGCGGGATAATAAAGTTTTTTCTCAATCGCGATGAGAAACGATCACTTCGCGTGGATATACTTGCAGTTTATTAATAGATATCTTTATATACACATCTGTACGGCTGTGTGTTTATTTAAATTGCTTTTATGGATGTCTAAGAAATAAATTACAAATTTGCTTATCTATGCATACGTCGGATACGTGTACTTTAACAATAAGTTGAAAGTTATTCTTATTTATGGTGTTCCTCATCTCTTAAAGGGTTCAGTGTTTCTATGAAAAATGCGGAAACTCGATTAGCCATGGTATTCTTCCAACCTAAATGGATCGTTATTATTCACGTTCATGGTCATACTGCTTTATTTTTTTACGCCTGTTTTTTTTTCACCGCCTTGTAATATACAGGGTATCTCTAAAATCCGACCCATGGATCTCGGAAACGGCTTCAAATATGAAAAAAATGTTTCAAACAAAAGTTGCAGGATATTAAGTGGGGACACACGATAAAAGTATGGACTTGACTTTGAGTGAATTTTTCAAGACCAGGTCAATGTGATTGATGTTTCCTTAAATAAAACCCTTCTTTTTTATTGCATATTCTTGTGTGCCTCATCGAGACGTTTTCAGAACACTACCTATTTTTGTTTTTTTTGCGCAAGCCATTCCCAAGACAGGAAGCTTCAAAGTTGACGTACCGCCGGCATTCGCATTGCCCATAGCCCAAGGTGTACCGCGTGGAGGTTGCACGGTCGGCTTTACGCCGATTACTTTGAAGCTTCCTGTCTTGGAAGTGGCTTGCGCAAAAAAACACAAATTTAGGTAGTGTGTTTAAACGTCTCGACGAGGGCTACAAGAATATGCAATGAAAAATAGGGGGTTCCATTTAAGAAAACATCGATCACACTGACGTGGCTTTGATAAAGTCACTCGAGGTCAAGTCCAGATTTTTATTTTGTGTCCCGCTCAATATCCTACAACTTCTGTCTAAAAATTTTTCCATATTTAAAACCGAGACCCTGGGGTGGAGTCGGACTTTAGAAATACCCTGTATGTGATTTACTTCTAGGTAGATCGTATAAATCAGGTACCGCAAAAACTTGGGTGGCTTTGGCATATTTTCGGTATTTGCTTATACTGCACAAATTTGCTTTAACATTTGTAACACCTGTTACCTATATGTTTTTTAATGATTGTATACGTCATACGTATTAAAAGTTTTAAGATAAATTTGCACATTATAAACGAAAAAGCGCCAAAGCCATCCAGTTTGGTCAAAGCCAAGTTTACGGTGTGTGTATGTTCTTTTTCTGATACCATTATGGAACCCACGAAGAAGAGATCCTTGGCAATGATCTTGTGACTTCGAACAAATTGAACAGTAAAAAGAATCGTAAAGATACGCAAACAAGTATAAATATTCTTAAAGTGACAAAATTCGCAAATGCTATTAAATTTTGTTCGCGACCTTGCATTTATGTGTGACTGTTCCCTTTCTAGTCTATTTCAAAAAAAATTCTGCACGGACGAACAGCTACATTTATGAGACCGATGGGCTTTTTGTACTGATTGATTTGTTACCATAGCTATTTACCTATGTATGTACCTAAATCGACATCTCTAAAAGTAAAGAATGCAAGTTTGAAACATAAATTTCAATGAAATATAACCAGTACCCACATTGCCTAAAATTTCGTGAAATTTATGACAACTCTATTAAAATGAAAAATATTACATAAATACATTTAATTTTGTTACAAATAAAATTAATAATAAATTAATAAATTTATTAATTTAACATAAATCTTACACTAATTTAATCATACTTCATGTTATGTATATTAGTTTATGTTGTATATCTATATTTTTTCTTTTGTAACAATCAAATAAAAATATCAATCCAAAAATATACTCAAACTATTCGGAATTCGGTCACGCTAGGAAGTTAGTGGAAGTAGCTGAGAAAAGGTATACGATCAACCATAAAAAAGTACAAACGTGTTTGTACCAAAACTGTGGTCAAGCTTGTCTACTATGTAATGTGATTTTAACCTTTTCCGTACGCTTTGTATTTCTATTAGAAACGCTCTTTACTGCCTGTTAACGCTTAGATTTTCGCTCGTGACCACAATTTTCAATATGACCAACTGCAACATCCAAGACATGACAATTCTGTTTTAGTTGAAATTTAAGAGAGCACACAATACCTTTTCATTAATTGCAGATGTATTTTGATAATCGTGATGTTATCGACAAACGTTGTGACATCGCCATATAAAAGCCAAAGTTACGTCAAAATCAATCTGTCGGCTATTTATGTTTCTTCCTTTTTTATTGGATAACTTGCGTTTGTATGGAATTTTATTTTAAAAATTTATTTTAAAACTTTCGTATTTCATAATTAAAACTTGTTG